GAGAAAAAAATAAACAAAAAAGTTAAGAATTAGATAAATAAAAAAAAATAAGTTGTTAGTTGGGTTAGTAGATAGGTGTTTGTGTGTATATGAGGTGGGTTTTAACATTAATGTTGGTGATCTATTTTCCTTCGAAGAATTCTTTGGTTGAGTAGAAACATTTTTGTATTAAGAATTTTTTTAATTTCCTCTCAAATATTATTTCCTTCCTTTCGTTTTGAAAGTCTTTCGGTAATCTATTGAATATTTCGACTGCCATGTAGTAAGGACTTTGGTTAAGCATTTTAATTCTAGATGGTGGTAGGTACAGTCTGTTTTTATGTCGGGTATTTACATTATGGGTGTCTTTTACTTTAGTAAAGTTATCTTTATTTTTAAATACAAACTTGCATATGTCATAAATTGATGGTAGTGTTAGAATATTGTATTTAATAAAATAGGGTCTGCAGCTATCTTGATTATCTATTTGTGCTATGATTCGTACGCATTTTTTTTGTAATAGGAATAGGTCGTGAAAGTTAACACTGTCGCCCCATAGCATTATGCCGTACCTCAACCACGAGGACGCATATGCGAAGTAAGCTGACAGTGCCGTCTCGATATTAGTACTGCATTTAATTTGGAAAAGAGCGTATGTGAATTTTGACAATTTCGATTTTATGTGTTCTATGTGGGCTTTCCAATTGATATGAGTGTCTATGTTTATGCCGAGTAGGTTAAATGTGTCTACGTTTTGTAATGTAATATTTCTAAAAGAGGTGTCTATTTTTAGGGGGGCTGTTTGATAAGATCTAAATTGCATTGTTTTTGTTTTAGTATAGTTTATCTCTAAGTTGTGGTCGTTAAGCCATCGTGTTACTGATTCCAAGGTTTCTTGCAAGATAGGTGAAGGTAATTCTGATTTATTATATTTTATTAAAATAGATATATCTATATATAATTTATAAACAGCCAGTGTTGTGGATCTTGAGCGTCTGAATCCGTTTTGGGAATCATCTAGGATTTTGAATTTTTCTAAAAAGTTGTATAGGCGGTTACACATTGCTTTTTCGAATATTTTGGAAAATGTGGGTAATAGGGCTATGGGTCTGTAGTTACTGGGAGTGTCTGTGTCGCCTTTTTTGTGAATGGGTTTGACTAAAGAAATTTTTAAAGCGTCGGGAAATTGGCCATTTTGAAAACTCTGATTAATTAAATATGTAAGGGGGATAGACAATTCTTCTGCGCATTGTTTTAATAGGATTGGAGGGATATCGTCCACTCCGCAGCTATGTTTGTTTTTAATTGAGCGAATTATGTTTATAATCTCCTTCCTATACGTGTCCTTTTGATTTGTCCATCTGTACCATGTATCACACACTCGTAATCATAAAATCAGCTGCACTAATTACATTTACAACCAACTTTTCAAACAGTTCCTTCATTTATTTTCTTTATGAAGAAGAAAACAAAAAGCAATCTCTAGCCGACGGCGTCCAGGAGTTCGTGACTGAAGTCATTTTACAAAGGAATTGTAATTACACCTGAATTATGACGTCACTTAATAATATGGTACTTATATGTTATGTCGGAAGCCATTGTTACCAAGTGCAATTTCTAAATAGGGCGCAATTTTTTCGAAAGTTACATTCGATATTTAGATTTTAGTGGCTAATATTCTAAGAAGTTATTGTTTGTTTATGAAAAATAATATGCTTTTAGTACGTATTTCATATTAACCTCTAACTAATTTTCACTAATTGGATGTTTGGTATAAGGGTTAGTTAAGTAAAATGGACATCCATGAAATAATACCTTATTCATTTGTTGATTTAATCAGGTTTTCTGCTACATGATATATGAGACAAGAATTACAAGGCCATCTATAGCTTAAACACTATAATCCAACATTTATTAACGACCAACAGTTTGTAAGTTCTCTTTTTAAAACTCGAATTTTTATTTAAAATTATTAGGTATTGTGTTTTTAACAAAATTTTTGATTTAAAAACCTGTTCCATAAACAGTCTTAGGTAAATATATACCTCACATTATCAGGCTATGAGTGATCACTGGTGAGTAAAGGCTGCTTCAGAGAGAAGATGAGAGCACTAATCACCACGCTTGTAAAAAAAGCAAGCGATTGCTCACTTAGAAACTTAGCAGATTGAGCTTACTTAGAACCAAACAACGTGGTTCGAAGTAACATTAATTAATCACATTCTGGCTTCTATTTATGTGCCTAGTAATTAATAGCTAAGTGCTTTTGCTTAAATATTTTTTAGTATTGTAGGTCATTTACTGTTAGCACTAAGTACTGGACCTATGTTAGTTCCTAGGTACATTCTAGTAACAGTGTTAATTCGTTGCTAATAATGAACACAATATATAAATATCGGAATTCTAATTAGCCTCCTTGTTCATAAAAATTCTTTAATAAGATTTCTACCTATGAGTAAAGTTCGTGTGCTTGACACATAATTCAAAAGCTATTAACACGATATTCGTGTGAATACTGATTCTTATATTTGTGACTAAAAGTTTTCATTAAACGAAGGAAAATTTTTCCTTATCCATGAAAAAAAATTGGCAAGAATAGTTACTAAAGCTGTAGGTACTTAGTTGAGAAGAATTGTCTCTACAGAAGTAAAACGAAGTTGCTTTCTCTATCCATAGGTATATCCTTATGTATGTTTCAATCTGTGAAACTACGAAACGGATATCGATTCAGTTTTTTTATAGATAGAGTGATTGAAAAGGAAGGTGTAATTGTATAATAACATTCGTTACATAATGGAGAAATTTGGTATCAGCGTTGCACTGCATCAGTGGGAAGCCGGGTCGGGTCGCTAGTTTGAACATAAAAGTTTCCATGTATCCAACGTTTGTGTGTGCACCCTTATTTGAAGCATATTCTTCTATACCGTACTTTAAATTCGCAAACTTTTCTACCCCAGACGAAAATGTTGACAAATAACATTCTACATCTAGTTTTCGCTATTCAATAGGGGAGAGTGTACACGGCAGACGCAAATCCAGACTTCTTTGTAGTCCATTCTACTGACTTCAATATTAGAATTTGTTGAAGTTTTACATTGCAGAATATAAAGTAAAAGTCTTTTGTTACTTAAGAAAATCACTAATATTCTCAATTAGATTAGTAATTTGTACCTTTTGGCAAAAGGTAATGGTCACAATGTATGGTAATCGGTTTTATTCATTTGTTTACGAAGTATTAGTGTGTAGTGTTTCCTTACACCGTTTCTCCTAGATCGTCGTTATGGTATCAACCATATTTATCCAGTCTTTAGGCGTCCACAGCCTGTATAGGTACGGTGATTTTACATTCTTGATTGATTGTGATGTAAATTTTTTTGTAAGTATATCATTGGAGACAATGGCTTGAGAAAAATAAGTAAGTACCTATATAAGAAGAAAGAAAGAAAGAAAGAAAATACATTTATTCGGCATCAGACATGAAAGCCAGAAAAAAAAACAAAAATACAACACAAAAAAACAATTTAATGTATATCTATTTTCTTAATCTACTATGACTTCGTTTTTTTCTGTTTTTAATGGGACAAGTCCGCCACAACCTCCCAAACTCCTGTTAGCCAGAATCTACAGTAGATACAACCACTACAGAATACTGGAACACTGAAGTCCGACATCCCAGATGATGACCCCATCCGAGATCCCAGGCTGTCTTAGATCCCGCCACGAAATAAATCAGAAAACTTTGAGTTAGTTATCAGAGCGGAGTGAATCCAGAGTATGAATAGATCGAATATACCGACAATACATTCAACTTGCTTTAGGTAGCTTTCAATACAAAACCAACATGCGTGTATCACACTGATTGGACAACACGTCATGACCTGACAACATGCCTGACATGTAAGCCACCGGTGTTCAAACTATTATAGCACGGAAAAAACCACCTTGTGTCATTGTAATACAGCTGTAAGGTAAATAGGTGGTGGCGGAATAAAGTTGGTTCAGCATAACCCTATATTTGCGCGTGACATATCCAAATGTTGATGCACTAGCGCGGAAAATGACGTGTCACCATGTTCGCGGCGAGTGACGTCATATTAACACCTCGATGCTGACATGAGAGGTATTAGCTTTTAGCATTTTATTCATACTTTTTGCCTGTCTGTATCTGGCATCAGTAAATTCAGATTCAGATGGCACGTGGTTCACTAAATTTGTAGATATATTATTATTTGATAACTTTTAAATGAGGTTTGAACCACTTTTATTAGGTACACAGTTAAAGTCTAGTTTCAGATGAAAGAAAACCAATTTATTTGATGGCTCTTTGTAAGCCTACTTGTATTTAATTTATTACTAACTTCAATTAATAATAATAAACAGATAGAAATGACTCGCCTGAACTACAACCTTCCTCATCTGTTTTACTACCAACATACGTACTTATGTAACATAAGTAACAGATAACTTACCCACTTAATTTATTATAGCAATTAATTAAGACCTCTCAAATTGAAAGCAATAACATTAAGTACACGGAGAAATAATAAAATAATGTCTGATTCCATGGAAAAATATTCAAAGCAATGAGTTACGGCAGCCATATTATTCAATACATAATGCGACACGCACGCCGCCTGGCGGTGGTTTGGTACTCACACGTTTGACAGCATCCCCAAGATGGCGGCCGGAGCAAGCGCGGGAAGACACCAGTGCACAATACGATGTCATAAAACTGCATTCCAACACACAAACATTCACTCTGAACACTTCGGAGAGCACTGGCGACCACGGTTCCGACTAATCACCCGGGGTCACACATATTCGAGGTGGACACGTGTGACCAATCAAGTGTCATATCACTAATTACGATGACGGAGCTATGCCTTCCCCGACAGCGGATCGTCGAATGAAAACCTCCACCATGTTGTTACTGAATTTTATACTCCATCCCAGTCAGCAGAGCCTCCAAGTTTGCCTCCTTCAAATTCGTTATGCATACAGCACCAAGGGCTGTTGAATACCGTTCGCGTTTATTTATGAACAGGCAAACTTCTGGTGGCTGGTGGGACGTACGAAATACGTTATAGGCTCGCCTCCCTCGAGTGCCGGCCACCGGCGCCGCACACACCACCAACAATGCATGCGATCGCTGAAAAAGGGCTTTTTATGTATTCAACTTCACAACTCTGTAGCTCATCTGCAAGTCGTATTATGGACCTAATTAACAAGTTAATATGGGCGATCCGGGGCCGCCGCGTCTGCGCACACCGCCTGGATTCCATTCTGGATTTACAAATTTGAATGTCGATGTCGAAATCAGGTTCACTCGGCTAGGAAGAAGCCTTTGTGATTTCGGAATACACGGAAATTTAAATTCACCTGCGCAGAAAATGTTTAAAAGTTGTCCGGAGCATCCGCGTGCGTTTTGAAGCTCCCGCGATTGCGACTTTGCAATGGTAAGGAGCGTTCAGAAATTCCGCCCCGCCCGACACCCTCCATCACAAAGTATAATGATATCGTCGCCGGCGTTATTATGGCAGTCGTCATAAATATTTCATAGATGTAGCGAGGGCAGTAATGACCGAGTGACCGCCGATCGCCGAGACTCGTCGCCATCTTAGATTGCACATTATACCCTCAGTCTACAAACAGATCCCCTCGGGTACGACTCATTATCCTCTTATGTGATATCAGCCAGTCATTCAAGGACTGAGCAACAGGAACATTGTTTTTTGGAAACACTAAAGATTCTTAATTTAAACATATTTTAGTAACAGTTAAGTTTCAGAAAACAAGCTTTAAAGCTTTCGTTCCTTGAATTTAAAAAGATTTAACATTATTCAAATTACCCAAAATATTCTTCGAATGAGTAAAAATAACCCTCTTGGTGGGCAACTGCTGACCAAAGGCGATTTTGGTTCGTAACATTGCGAGATAGTCAACAGGAAACTGTATGTCCTTTTACAAATAATTTTAGGGAATACCAGCAGTTATTTGGTAGCGCACATATTATAACCGGCAGGACATAGACGGTGACGAAAATTTGACCATAATTATAAAGCCTAAAATCACAGGAAACATAATTAGGTAGGCTTTTACAACATCACATCAACACAATAAGTTATTCCACATTTTGCCAATAAGTCAGTTATTGACAGCAGCAGTGGTGGCACGTGCCATCCGTGCCGATCGTGCCACCCCAGACGGCTCGGTGTGAAGGTGGCTAATTACCTCGTCCTCGGCTGGACACCGCCGTCCTTTGATCACCATCCTTTGATCGGCCGACGACACTACGTAAGGGTATTTTGCTTAGGAGCTTAGTGGACTTTTGATTTTATGAAGATTACTTTAGTTTGGCTGGTTTTATTTTGATTCGAGTGTAAATTTGTCGAATTTGGTTTTGGTTTTTAAACTAAATTCAACCTCACGCGTGTAAGTTAGACTTTCAGAAAAATATTATGTACTTTGATTTAAAGTGATTCTTGCCCCTTTTCTTAAGTCTTAAAATATCTAATTGGAGGAGTTGAGTCTGGATTGATAACATAAAGATCTACAGATATAGTGTCAACGTGTCCGTTTCACTCTTTAGCACATTACCCAGCGAATTCGCCGATCTCCTTTGACTGAAAACTTGTTAGAGGTCCGTATTAAAATTCAAAAACGACGCACTGAACTCAGTCCCGATTCCTGAAAACATTATTCAGGGGATTTGAATAATGATTTTGTTTTAGTCCGTACTCACACCTCTGGTTTAATGTATGCGAGAAGATTGGAGCCTCGAAAGTTGGTAACGCGATTTTTGGTCGGACTTAAATGGTTTCCAAACTTAATTTTGCGGGCACTCGGCTTTTTCGTCGCAAAATGTGTTTATGCAAGAATTCCTTTATGAACAAAGTTGTTGTAATTTATTGCGTTTAAACTTGCAAAGTGAGGAAGGATTGGGCTTCAGGCTTGAGGTGGTGCTCGTGGTACAGACCAGGTTCTTTATTCAGTATGTATGATGTACTGTTACATTGTATAACAGTATATTCTTGTGAAAAAAAATGAAAGTTACATTAAGGTCTACCAGCAAGAAGTAAGTAAACCTGAAAGGAGATAATTGTATGTGTACATAAGGTTTTAAGAAAAAAATTCAGTCACTTTAAAAATGACTCATTATTTGTTAGGTGCACTAATATATCAACGATGTGAATCTGTAAGCATCGTCGATTTGTATTTACAGTCTGCAAAATATTGAATTCTTGCAAATTGAATTCAAAAAGCGGTTGAATTAAATTTAGTTAAAAGTAAAGTACTTATATGCATAATATTCATATTTCCTCCAAATTCTTGTTATCCAAACGAGGTCCTAAGTACTCTTCACTGAGGCGACTTCCGACAGCAAGATTCAAAGTAATCTAACAAAAAAAAAAGAACTTGCCATATTTTATTCAAATTCCGCGTCGTGAACAGTTGAAGCGAAAAAATATGAATATGATTTCCTTACGCACTTTAGAGAAGTTGCCTCGCGCCAAATGAAGCATATTTCGAGCCATAACACTCGCATTATTCAGAAAAAAAAGTTACTAAAGAGTACCATTCAGAACGCGACTTGTTTATTGCGATTTTACCAGTAATACGTGATAAACAGAAGTGAATTTACTTTGTAAGTAAATCTGGAATTGGTATTAATGGATGCTAAACTGTATTGAACCAATAGTTTTCATAATAAAAATATAAAATAAAAATTACCCTTTGTTGGTGTCAGTTATGAAATGAATGTTAGCTAGCTTAATTTAGACTACCTATCGACATGAAGGATATTTACAAATTGCACTAACGTATTTTAATGTTGTTGTAACTTTGAAGTCGTAAGGTGAACAGGAGACTTTATTCAAAGTAAGTACAGTGGAGGAGGGAAGCGTCTTAACTTTTTATATACATTTTGCTCGCTAAATGAACTGAAACTGTATTTCACAGATGCTAAGCAAACTTACTTTTTGGGTTAAGCATCGTTGGAAAATGGACCGTGTGTTTTGTCTCAATTTTATATTGAGTAATAAGAACTATACAAAACTGTTTCTATTTTTGTTATGTTTGTGAGTTCAAGTTGTAAAATAGAAGGAAAATTTCGAAAATAGAAAACTCATCAACATTTTCGTGAAACAGTTATTAATGATGAATATATAATATATGAATGTTAGTTCAATGGTTTTATAATGATGTCATTAAATTGGATGTAGATGATAATTTCATTTTAATCCCTGAAATAATTAATTTCAGATCAATAATTACCTACCTTATAAGCGATGCCTGAAAAAGTATGGATACCTACTCATTATTGTTATAACCCGCATATTAATGAATATTTTTAACTACTTATTGAAATGAATTTAACACACTGTTAGACAAACGACTAGAACAATGTTTCAAGTTATACTTATCAAAAAATCTTTGTTTTTCCACCCTCAAGAACTGTTCATGTAAATTATATTCAGCGGGGAGGCTGCTATCCTACAGTACCTTAATGATGTTTGGAGATAGCGTAAATGTTGCGTTATTATTTATTGTGTACTTTATATTAGTGTTTAGACGTGTTGATATTGTTTCAACAAATACTTAAAATCTATCCGATGCTTATAGTTACAGAAGCGTGAAGATGATAGCGAATGAAGAAGTATTTGGTCATGTAATTACGGTTTATTTATTTAGTTTTGATGTAGGTAAATTATAATAATTATGAAGCTTGAAATGACGTATAAGATATTTCAGTTTTTAAGAATTTTTATCAAGGAAATGTTTGTGAATGTGTAAAAAAAAATGTTAAAAAATGTTGGCGTGGTACCACTCAATGTGGGGAAAATACACGTTGGAAACAGTTTCAATTAAAATACTTAACAACTTACTTATGTAACTGACAACATAAATCGAATAGTTTCAAGTCGCGTTAGGGGCTCATATTCAAGAGCAACATTTCGAGACACATGACAGTTCTCATTAAATGTATAATTAACTAAATATTGTTTGACTACACCCTTTGAATTTATGTGTATATAACAGTCTATGATAAGAACAGTTCAATTAAATATAAAAACAGAAGTAGATAAAGAACTTATTCATGTACAAACCTGATTTAATTCGAAATAAAGACCCCTCCGAGACAATGCTTGAGTTTTTCGATGCGGCTTTCAAATCTACAAGATAAACACGAGTTAAACAAATGACGAAGCACTCGACAGAAAGCTATAGGAATATTGGATGGAAATAATATTGATCGAGGTTTTCACACAAAGTTACTTGGTAACGTTGGAAATAGTTAAATATATAATTAAATGAAAGATGCAGATTGATTCGTAGATACACAGCTGCGATTATATAGATTAATAATAGATTTGTATTTTGTGTAATTACTAAACATATATGTATGTGTAAAATTTCCTACTAAATATTTAATTGTTTCATCATGAATTAAGACCTTTTTTGCGTAATACTTAGTATAGGTTCTTAATGCTAATAATCTTCTTCTGACCACAACAAATACAACAAAAAAAGGATTAGTAAAATATTGGTCCAGGAGTTCTTGAGTTATGCGCTTACTAGGTATATATAGATATGTAAACATGTTTTCCTATATTCAACGTTTTTCCCTGCAAGTGCTTACCCAACATATTATTGAAAAACATTGTACACAATGTCGCCGATATCTGAGCTCAATCAGTGAGACTTGCTTGAATTTTTACACGTTTCTTATTCATAGACATTACTTATGCATGCAGCAAGCGAAAATATTACAGCATTTTAATGAAAGAAATATTAATTTTGAAGCAAAGTTTTCTTTGCGGTCGTGACGCTCGGAATTAAGTTTGGTCTGAGCGAGTTTGCGACCCCCCAGATTCAAAATATGCTCGGCTGAATTTTAGTTGGGGTTGAACCGTTCGTTAAGACCTACATTTTATTATTTCAGTAAATAAATTTAAGGGCAAAGAGTATGCACCGCCGCACCGTCTGCCGACTGTGGGATGTTTTCTGAAGATCTCTAATTAAAAGAGAAATGTTAATTCTGTTGATCTTAAGGACTGAAATAATATTTTTCTGGACGTTAAGTGATTATTCGCACCCAACAAATATTGAGACAATAAATGGTGAATGGGAATAAAGAATCATATAAAAATTTTACACAAAAACAAATGCCTATCAAAAAATATTGAAAGAGACTCGCGTAATAAGTTACACAGGCGTATTTTATTGATCTCATACTTCACGCAGTAAAATTAAATCAAGCATCAGATTCAAAACAAACGATTGTGCACAGACAATTATTTTGACTCTTCGAGCACTCTGTACGATTTAACAATGTTGTGCATTGCCAAGAATCTTTTTGAAAAGGAATAGAAATAGAAAATAAACCTTAACTGATTGCAATAAGGGTGTATTCGAGTTCAAGGCGTAATCAAGTCCGGGTACTTAGAGTAAGTGATTTCTCTCAGTTTAGTCATAAAAATGTTAATGTTGCAAAAACAAATAGAGCTTAATGTATGCTGAGGGGAAGTGAATTAGTGGGGAGCATGCAATTCACTATTTTCATATTACAGATATTTTCATTTGTGCTTCTCCTGAGGAAGGCTAGATACACTGTAATCATCAGTTACATTAGATTTATGTTGCATTTCGAGAAATAAGAATTGTATTTGATATAAGCTATCATGTAATCATCTCGTAATACCTTGAACATTTAAGATAAGAGACAACTTAAAATGTGATCAGGGAACTTTTTTAATTTACAAATTAATTAAAACTGTTACATAAAGCAGTTAATTACAGAAATACTTTTACAACTATTAGCCTTCAACTACATAAGCGTCATTGTTTCTAACGAACTTACATATGTTATTTTGAATGCCCCTTAAATTACAACTGGTTAAAAACGTTGAAAAGACATAAAAGCAACAACCGCCTCATCTATGATACCTAGTTCAGCATCTACACTTGGAACCACTAGACTAACCAAGCAGTAATTTATTATATTTTTGCTGTTATTCTTTTTCCTTAGGGTCTAGCTATATATAAGTAGGTGGGCAGCTGAAATTGATTATCGCGGGCCGATAACAGGCCCCACCGCATCCCCCAAACTGTTGTTTTGGTGGGAAAATGATGGATGCTCCAGGAAAATATTGCGGCTAAATATACCGGAACAATGTACCACAAATACTTCGGCTGCATGATAAGGTGTATTATTTTTATATAGTATAATAATAATTATTAATTTTCAGCTATTTGCTGTTTGTGTTGAA